CCTACAAAAAAAAATGTTTAGACTATTCGACTACTACCCTCATTATTATTATTATTATTAATTTTATTTTCCGTAGTTTATGAATGAATGCAATTTATCCTGCGGATATTCGGGAGTCTGTGCACTGAATTTATTCCGGTTGGAAAGTCGTTCGGTTTGGAATAACTTCTAGTTCAATCTGACTTCTATCTTATTGGGGAATGATTTGGTTAGCCAGACCGTTCCAATGGTTTAGGTCACCGTCAACTACCAACAGTGAACAGCAAACAGAGAGGAGGGGAGGGACCAGGACCGGTAACTTTATCCATGTAAAACAATGATATAGAGTAGTGTCGTTTAGAAAAAACAGACATGAAAAATAGCGGTCGAGGCAAAGTACCTAGAACACGGATACAGCCGGACAATAAACGAAGCAGAAGACCCAGTCAGTTAAATCTCATAGTAATCGCATTCGTCAGATAGTGTGAATATTTTGCTGAAGGAGCGTCTAATGGAAATCGCTCGAACAAGCAAACCACTGTTGTTTGTCGGCACCTCGATTGAACGTAGATGTGTTTCCAGGAATCAATCCCATTGGCTCATCTTTGAGGTGACTAGGGGCAATTGGACGAGGATGCAGTCGCTTCGCTTGTGTAACAAAAACTAATTCACTTAAATTGCATGATAGCCATCAGTTTAGAATTCGAACAAAGTAGGGAAAGTGATGGCATAGATTGAATGAACCACTGAGATGGGTATTTTTCTGATTACTTAAGCGATCGCAGGCGACCAGTGACGATGTCTGAAGAGATAATAGAAATTTGTCTTGTCTACTACAAGAAAAATACAGCACATCATGACACGTTTGAGTCTGGCTCACAACTAACGAAGACAACAGCATGACCCTGTGGCTCTACAAGGATCAGATGATTGTGAAAGGGTTGAAGAACCCAGTAGTAATGTGGATTACACTTCGTACCATTAACTCTAGATGCTTCGTGGACTCTCCCGAGAAACCACCACATAGTCAAGTGAATGCAATGTAGCATATTTGAACACGCATTGCAGAAACAAGTTAACTCAGCATCATGTTTAAAAGTACTACCGTGCATTGTATCATCGGATAGGTTATTATCAAGAAAAAATCGAAACCGTCGCAAACATGTACGGATCGCACTGCAAAGATGGCCGCAATCAGTCGGTCACCGATAGAGGTTGACGCTTTCAATTACAAAGAGGGATTCGATTCGTATAGAGCAAGCGAAGCGTGCACTGAAAAGCTAGGAAGCACTTGACAGCTGTTTTGACCTGGTTAGATCTCGCCAACAATGCAAGTCCATTGACCCAATTGGGGATCGAACCCGGGACCTCACAGGCAGAACACAAGCATGCAATCCACTCAGCAATCGGACAACTGATCAGACCGCTCATCATTTTCCATTTACACGATATGGTACAATCCATCTCTGTGAGCTAGTTGCAGGCATCGGGTCTCGCTCATATCAGCACTACACTCCGGGCTTATGACTCGGTTGAAAACGTAATCTGACTACTTGTAACATGAGTGTAATAGAGGATTTGATTGAAGTTCAAATAGGGATTCATTGTGTACAGAACAAACAAAACATGAACTGTTACCTTAATGTCCACGTAACATCCTGGGCGAACATTGCGCGTTTTCACACCGGACGAGATATCTAACCATGAGCGGGATCCATAAACGAAAGTGATGGGCACTTGGGGATCCAAATCTCCTATTCGAAGTACCATGGGTCGATAGGCAAAACCGACAAAACTGCACATGCCTCGAAAACCGACCTCACCACTGTGAAGGAATAGAACGTGAAACAATACAAAGAAATGAAAACGGAATGACTGCTGGAAGCTCCTAGAACTATTACGATTACGCAACATAAATTGACGCAACAATTGAACGGTCGACCAATTTTTATAAACAACACATGACGAATGATGTGCTAGGAGAACCGTAGAAGAAGGTATTGAGGTGAAGATTCTTTTCAGATGATCAGAAAACTTGGAAAAAGATACAGCTGTTTCGTGGCAGTTGACAGAAAGTAGTGACGGAAGACGAATTGGTAAGTGACAAGAGCATGGCTCATTTTACTGTTGTATTTCATGATAGCAAACTGTTGACAAAATGTTGAAGATTGGTTCTCGTAGCTCGCGTGAACTGAACTCCATTTCGCATGTTCGCCGAACTTGGCATCATCAGTGCACTGATGATGTCACCTCGGCTGGTGATGAAACGTTTGCAAACAAATTGCCAAGTTCAGCGAACAGGCGAAATGGAATAGCAAACTGTATAGTATGGAAACTTTTCTCAGCTAGGGTGAAAATCCCAATTGCGTTGTCTGCCCTCAAAGTGACGCGATTCATCCTACCACACGGTAAATCCAGTGTTTGGGACTGTAGATGAGAGAAAAGAAACATCATGTAAATCAGAGGGAATTAGAACATGAACGTCAAGTAACCGTGGTCAAGGAGACCCCAGAGGTTAGTACACACCAAGACAAGATCGCAGGCCTGGTCCTAATGCTTGCTGCGCACAATTTGATTTGGCATATAGAGGTGTACGGAGTGGAAAGGAAGTAATCGAACAGCAACGAGTTGGAAAAAGCTCCGGAAACAAACTAGAAAAGGCTTGTTCATCGTCCATATGAATAATGAGTGACACCGGCGATCAACAAGTAACTCGGACACACAGTCATTTATGATTTGAGTACTTGTGCATTAGAGCAACAGCAACATACCGTTAGCATAAGTTACCAGTTAGTTGAAAATCATAACTATCTGATTGTTATGTTTATATTTGACAAGGAACAAACGTGCGGAAAGGGTAGAGAGGGTGCTTCAGGTCTGTTGGTGATCACAGAGCGAAGTTGGGATTTCATTATTTCGACCGCTCCGATAAGAGATGAAAAGGGCATGCAAAAATTAAGACATCCCGATCATTTAATAATGGCGAATCACGTGAGGTTCTTTGGGAGTGAAGTAAGTTTCAGTTAAGCTGTAGTTGAAAAGACTTGTTAAAAACGCGTGGATTACACCATTGATTCGGTGAGGGAACGTTTGACCATTTCAAGGCGGGTTAGTTGTACAATCCCACTAATGAGTTGGTTTGGTGGGGTGTGATTTGGTTTGATGTTTGACCTATAGAATCCCTACTATGAATGGTGATTTCGGGTGTGACACATGACACGAATAACAAAACGCAACGAATCACAAAAATGAAAAAAATGGATGAGGAGAGTTTTCAGTTATTAAAATGAAGAAAAGGTGAGAGGGTAAGCATGTCACGTGGGCAGTGCAATCCAAAATGACCTGAAAATGTTCGAGGATACAATTCGTCCCGTACACTTGGACAATCGTCCAGTTTGGTTGCTCCAGCAGAGAGTTCGACAATGATGCNGAATGCTACTGTTTGTCTATTGCAGCCGTAAACATTTCGATCAACGGACTAGTCCCAAACTGAGGGTTTGTTCCGTTTTTAGAAGGAATTATATACTTCAAAAACCATTTGAAATTTTGCACGTGTTTTAACCAACGGTAAGACACGGTCGACATTCGTCTCGAACGGAAGGCTTTGTCCGTCTAATAAATATTTCAATAGAAATTCATTCAATTAATATCAGTAACTGTAACCGGAGTGTAATATATTTTGAAATTTTGCACGTGGATAATCCCCAACCCGAGGTGAACTAGAGGAAATAGCATAACCGAATTCCTGAGGTCCTAAGAACGTAAAGGAAAAACGGAGCAAGAAACGATGCACAGCTTGCAGCGGCTCGTAACGTACGCTAATTGTAAACCGAACTGAATGCGTATCTGCAACCGGAGGATAGTACAAAGTTTGTCAAAAATCAGTGAAACTCAGTGTGATGCTAACAGTTTGTTATTTGATAGACCGTTTGGGGATTCGGATAGATTTGGGTACCGAGCGAGGCAACTGTTTGAGACGATGGCGCGAAGACAGGTGCATGGAACTATTTTGGTGGATGGCACAACAAAACGTTGGTTGCGGGACAGAGACTCACACTGCAACCCGGACAACTGTACTGTTCGGCTATTCACAGGTATTCTTGATCTCATTGAAGACGAACTTCTTCATTGCGTGTCACATTCATCCTCGCAATGACCCAGACATCTTGGATGGGAACCGAACAAAGAACCAAAATGAACGAATCCGCTGGCGTAATCGACCGGATACAATAACGTTATTGTTTGCGGATTCCGGGGACCGGAAACGGAATTACTGATAACAGCATTTGGACTTGTATCGAAACAGGAATTTCGCATTGCTCACAAAACATTCCACTCAATAACGATGCTGAGCTGCATACAGTCAGGGAGAGGGAAGGTACTGTACGATAACTCTTATCTGCGGGAAACAGTTCAACACTTCTCATCTGGTTGTGGAACGAACAACAAAAATTACGAAGGGACCGAAAAATCCCATGGTGAGACTGATGGCGACTGACCGACAGCAGTGGCTCTCTTGCTGTCATTTCTTGACAAGACAGAATGCTTAAAAAAGGTATGCATGAACACTTAGATAGTGTACTCTGTGTGTTGAACATAGAGGTTCTTTTACTTTGCTTCCCTCCAAGTAGGCCCAATCCCTCTCCATCTTATGCCTTATTATTAGATTTGTGTACATTGTGAGCTCGGCAGCGATCATTGAAGCTCGCTTCACTGTATCTCGCTGTACGATGATGATGATGAGACTGAGTTGATTGGTATTTTGTGCCAGTCAGTTTAAGTATAGAACAAACATAAACAGCCCACACACGCAGATCAAGGTATGAGACAACGGCGCATAGACTTCGTAGAAAAAGGATGGAGTACATGGAATGCGTTTCGCAAAGTACAGATAGAAGGAAACAGAAATCAGGAGGCTGGGGAATACCGTACAGCTGTTTCACTCCACTTGAGCAATTTATCAGGCGAACTACGGGGGTCCAATACGAGACACGATAGATGCTGTACGTGTAGCATGTCAAATTTGTAGAAACAAATAAATTATTTATTACAACGTGAAAATTGAAACGCAAAATCTGAGGTGAGTTTCGCGAAGGACAGTAGTCGAGGGTGGGTAGGGTAGGAGGGGGGAGGGAGGGAATTCACAATGAAAGAAGAGACAAACGAAAACCACGACAATACGGACACGATACAAGCAACAGGCGGAAACAGAAGTGAAGAAAACTGAAATGATTGGGCGAAAGGAAAAAAAATACTCACCTGGGTTGCTGCACATTGATGTGATAGACATAATCCAAAGCAACGGAACCATCCAAATCGACGGGATCCAGATTCTTTTTCTCGGAGTCTCCGCTTGTGTCATCTGTAACAGTACTGTTGTGCGATGAGCAATTCAATGTGTCCAGTCCGTGCTCCGAGTCGGTTGTTGTTTGTTGAAGAAACGCCCCATTTTTCAGAGCCAATTCTTCGCTCTCCGACGGGACTTCAATGGACTGTAAATAGGGTGCAGTTAGAGGAAACAAACGGTTGAACGGAATCAAATGCATAACAGTAACAATGTCTCATAGCATGTCTACACAGTACACATCGGTCGAGAAACCCCAAAACTGTGAAGAATGAAACGTTCAGCATTAAAGACGGATTGTTAACATTAAAACTGAGCATGACGAACCGCGAAGTGCGTGGCACGCGGGGCGCTGTGACGTTCAACAGTTGAGCTGTACACCGGATATGGACGTTCTGTGGACAGCACATCACATCCTCACCTTATGCGTATATCATAATGTGGACGGCTCAGGGCGAGAAGCACAATCATAATCAGCTGATTAGGGCAAAAGGTGTGGAGTTCAAATTTATTGCTTTCATAAAATCTATGAACAATTTGGTATTTTTAATATCCTATAAATAAATACCAGACCACTAAACGGGAACTATTACGATACGGACAAAGTAATGCGGCCTATTATTTGACAAACAGAAACAGGAGCATTTCGGGCGGGATGCAGGGGAAAACTTGTATCAGTTTTCGTGCTGAGTTCGTGCATCTCCTCAATTTCTTTCCAACCTTAGTCCACTGAACTTCTCCATTTTCTTTTCGACTCCCTTTTCAACTTTCCTTTCTTCTCCTATTCTTCATCCAAATGGGCAGCCAAAAGATAGCAACCAAAACCGGCGCACGAAAGTGCATGGTTAATGGTTGTTCAAATTTGAAACTGAAACTGCTGGGGGAAAGCATCTACGAATGTGGATAACGAAGATTTGTTTCAAATGTGTCTTCGTAGAGAATCGCTTTCATGGGACGGGACACAAACCAGAAGAGAGATATTGCACGCAAACTCGGTATCCACAACGATTGCTATTTCATTGAAATCAACATCAAAAAGAGCGACCTGACTTATCCGATGTTACCTCTTCTCACACGAATTCCTCCTTTCAATTAGGACGCAATAAAAGAGAAGAAAATTTATTGTTGTAGAATGCATCAAGACCGAAAGAATATACATATGTCACGAGATCTTGCTAACATTTTGTTTAATGTTCTCAAACGTTGACGTAAAGCAAACAAGCACATTTATAGCAAACTGGATGCGTAAATTTTAGTGAACTAAAATGTTCAGATAGACGGGGGCTAGTCGGATTAAAAACAACAGGTAAGTGAACTGAGTGTCACAGAATGGAATCTTTTTCTGATGGTTTGCAAGCCACATATTTCCCATGTGTTGTTCTATTACTCTTTTGTTCCTACATCACGACAATGTGTCAACCCCTGTTTAAAAACCTCTCCAATTCATTTTTTGTTTGAGAGAAGACCAAGAGGCCTGGTGGACGCTACGTGCAAAGGAGATGGAATCAGCAGCTAGGTGTGGAAACACCCAGAAACTATTCCAGCTCATCCGTGCCACAGACCCCAAAAGACAGTGCGTTAGTGAAACAATCTACGAAGTAGACAGCACGTTAATGAACAACCTTCACCGACGATTGGAACGCTGGGCAGAGCACTTCAAATCGCAGTTCAACCAGCCTTCCGCGCTGGCCGCCCCAAGCAGTTTTCTTGAAAGCGCACCCTGGCCATTACCCACGGGACCGCCCACAGAAGCGGAGATCCGAAAGGAACTCCAAGCCCTGAAATGCCACAAGGAAGCTGGATCAGACGGTCTGCCACCTACCCTCTTTAAAGATGGTGGAGATGCTCTCGTAAGAGAATTTGTGAGACTGTTCTCGAATATCTGGGAAACTGAAAGTGTATCCCACATATGGGGAGAATCGATTATCACACCCATTTACAAGAAGGGCTGTCGCAACGCCTGTTCCAACCACAGGGGCATAAGTTTCATTCCAATAGCGCCGAAGCTGCTAGCGTCCGTTTTATTACGCAGGTAATGCCCATTCCGCGAGGAGCAGGCCGGGTTTCGTGCACGCCGTGGATGCATAGATCAAATCTTCACGCTCCGTCAGCCACCAAGAACACCGCCACACAACAGACGACAAACCATTGCCGTGTTTTTAGACATCAGAGCGGCTTTCGACTCTATCGATCGCCGGGGAAGGTTAGGGCCTATGGTGAATTTTCACCCTCATTTCCTGTTACCAGTGGGGTACTACAGGGTTGCCCTATTTCTACGTTTCTCTTCAACTTTGCCATAGATGATGTCATACAAAACACGTTACATAACGCAGCGAACGCTGGTGTTGAGCTCCTTCCTGGGGACAGAGTCGTCGACTTAGAGTACACCGATGATATTGCCTTACCAGGTGACAACGCACCAACGATTCAAGAGTCGTTGAACCGTTTGGTAATTGAGGTTACTCGTTATGGTATGTCATTTGCAACTTCAAAGTGTAAAGTTTTGTTGCAAGATTGGCAGGAACCCATTCCTGCACTTTCATTGGATAGTGACACTCTGGAAGTAGTCGAAAGCTTTGTCTACCTTGGGAGTTGCATAACGGATGGTAGAGGTATGGGCGAGATCTCTCAACGCGTGATCAAAGCTAGATTAGCGTTTGCTAATCTGCGGCATCTCTGGTGCAGGCGCGATATATCCCTTTCACTAAAAAGGCGTGTATGTTGCTTAACGGTACGCACCGTGTTGCTCTATGGCTGCGAGACCTGGCCTCTTCGAGCAGATCACGTCCACCAGCTATCAGTCTTCGACAACCGTTGTCGGCGCAACATCACTCGCGTATGATGGGAGCATCGCGTGAATAACGATGAAGCCAGACGACGGGTGCTAGGACCAGATAGTAGAGTCCTTTGGGGAAAATAATTTCACAGCATCGTCTTAGGTGGCTAGGGCACGTCCTACGAATGCCTGAGCACTGTCTGCCACACCGTGCACTACTCGCAGACATCGGTCCAGGCTGGAAGAAACAACGAGGTGGGCAGGCTATGACGTGGCGCAGAGGGTTAAAGAGATTGTGCTCGGATCTGGCTTCCGTTGGGGTTTCTCGACTCCCCGGCTGGGGCCCCAAAGATTCAGATCGTCTTTAGCTGGAGACATTGCGGGATATGGCATCGAATCGAAGTCAGTGGTGCGAATGCCTCTTGTCTACAATTTCAAAAGTTAAAAAAAACTCAAAATGGCGTGCAGTGAACAACAAAAAAAGATTGTTACTCCTCGAAGTTGACTGTTTTATTTTCCCCGTTTTTGTACCTATATTTTTTTCGTTCACCCATGGTTATCTTTGGCGCCGTATCTGTAAAGATTTGGTGTAAATAATAATAATACTAAATAATTCTACTTCTCCGAATGACCAAGTCTAACAGAAACGCTTTTTTCTCTTGAAGACTCCTCAGCTTTGATGCTATATCCATTTTATTCCTAAAGAATGATTCAGGGATCAATTTACTCAGCGAGACCTGATCAGTGAAACGGGACAAAGGAGAGTTATGCGCGTCAATCGATAATTCTAGTGTACTGTTGTTGTGATCTGAAAGAAGTGATCAATCAACACAACCCATGCGGTTGAACGCACGCATGAGTGCCCGTAAGATGCGATACCAGTCAAGCCTAGTCAAACAGATGTCTATGGAAAGACGACGACACCAAATCAAGTGGAAAGAAGACAAGTAATATTAGGGTTTGGAGGATGAACTCTACATTTTTCGGGGCGACCTCTGGTGACCTTCCAATTTAGCTTAAAACTCTAAAATGTCGGGAAGAGCCGGCCGACCAGAGATCAGCGCTGGTGGTTCAGTTCAGTTCAGTGGTGGTGCGACAGCAACCTCTGTTAGCGCGAAAATTGGAACTTTGAATTTAATTCTCGAAGATACAAAAAATAGGGGGAACCGTCTGTTTTAGAGCAAAATGGGATTTTCCTCTATCAACAAAACGGTGCTGTTTTATCCAATTGTCATTTGACGCCTTACGTTACTGATCTATCGATTGATCACCCTGCCCATCGTTTCAATTATGATCTCAATATCACCGTTTCCATTCCTATTCCTATTTCTAATCAATCCGATTTGGTATAATATCAGCATAAATCGTCATGTGACGTACTCCAACCTTACTGTCTTTCTCCTACTGCTTCATCCAAATGGACAGTCAAAAGACAGTAACCAAATTCGACGCATGGTTAATGGCTGTACAAATTGAACAGAACTGAGAGTACCCCATTTCATTTGGCTTTAATTTCGACTTTGATAAATGTTTCAATTATCTTTACAATAAAATGTCCCCCCCCCCCACGTGTCGGTAAATGTGCCGGAAAACTAATGAGCAGAGTCGGCCACATGAGACATCGTCGTTTTCTACATATCCAGACTATTGCTGGCAGACTCAAACGACATTCACTACAAATTAGAAGAGTGCATCACTTTTGCACTGGAACAACCAGTGTTAAGCACTTTCATTCAGTATTGTTGTTTTTAACCTTTTTTACTGATTTTCGTCGACAGGCAGTAGGCTGATTTTCAGTTGACAAGGAGTGGTCTCAAAGGGATTTGCTTTGTTTCCTAAAGCTCCTTGCCTGTTCTGATAAATAATACATATACAATGAACATATTGAAGCGTGCTTGAAGTCTGGAAACAAAATTTCACCCGATAGCACGCATCTACTGCAAATCGAACAGGTCCTGATATAAATCCCGTTGCTCCGCCCGATCCAACTACGAACTCAGCGCATCTAGCACAGTCGGGTATGGGACCTTCTTGGTGCTTTATTTTTCCCGATCCTGATTGATAAAGTGAAAATTCGTTCTAACCTCTAAAATTCATTGAGTAGTCGATTCGTATTTCCGTATGATGTGCCATTTGTCCTCGTCTCTTTTACCAGAACTGCGAGGGAAATTTTAGTCCGTGGAAAACTTTTATTGAACTTGCTCAAATTCAAATACCAACTGTAATCGACATCGATGGGACAGCTCTCAATTGACGATATATTTCACCTCGAAAAGTGAGAAATGTGCGACAGGGGAAACTCACGGTGCTTCTCATGATCGTACCTCTGTCGGCTTCTCAGACACAATTGGAGTTTACCCAGCAATTAGTCAAGAAACGTAGCCATGTAATCAAGGAAAATGAACAGATTTTCACCATTAAAATCACCCACAGGATAACAAAACTTATACTCTAGATTCATATGTAAACTGTACTCAGCTACCAAAAGATATGCCGCATAATGCCCCGTAGATGAAAGGAACGTAGGTTAACAGTTGTCAGTTTCACTCGGGAGATTAGAGCTGTATGCTACCGAGCGCGAAACCCAGGTCGCAGCCGTTATTTCGCGACTAACCATGAATCAAGTAAAGACAAAAACATCCATTAAGGAAATTCTAACATATGGTTTTTTCCAATGAAAAACACGAAAACCTACATCTGAAGGACCATGAAAAACAAACGTACTTCACCCAATGGAAGACTTCTCTGATCGTACATAAATCGGAGATCTTGGCGAACGTGATGAATCAATCTGCGACCAATCGGTCCAACCGCCCGCAACACAGCCAGTGGATTGGTATTCTGTGTCATATTTAGAACCGCCCTCATCAGCCACGACCTGCGGTCATTTTTGCGAACGGGTATGCCCTCAGCAGGCAATCCAAAGTATCCCCACGGGTCCACCAAAACAAGATGAGCCACTCTGTGGAGAGGTTCAAGTAGGCATATCAGAAATAGGGTGAAGAAAGCCATAGAACGGCTCAAATCAAACGTGCCGAGTGTGTCAGACTATATCTAGACTTATTGGGAAACTGAATAAGCAAGTAGTATTGCAAGAGCAAAAAGGATGTGACATGAACAAGGGTAAACTAACGAAACGGAATACGAATATCGAAAGAAAGGGGCGATAAAGTAGTTGATCTTTTGAGCACCGTTGGTCATCTGTGAAATGTGGTAATCAATACGGAATATTAACAACTATGATAGCAATTCTAACAGAGAATAACGCTGACGCGGAACAAGTAGGAAGAAACAGGGTAACTGTTGGAGTCATGCTGCAATGCTTGATAACCTGGCTGCCACTTCAAGAGACACAACACCTCATAGTGGTTGGAGCTGAAAGAGTAAACACCCAACATAATAGGGCATTACGAACAGTTCTCATCTGGATATGGTTTAGCGGCTTGTGCAGTCCTGCAATCTAGTGAGCAGTGTAGGACCGACTGTCACAAACCGGCCAAACAGAGAGCGGCTATCACGTTCTGTAAAAACAAACATTATACTGCTAGATGTCATCTATTGTCCACAGAACGATGATCAGAACTTTTCACCAGACTGATCAGTTCAAATGCACAGCGAGAGAGATAGAGAGACGGGAGTACATATTGCAGCCGAGCATCGTGAGTGATAGTCTACGTTTAAATTGATAGTTGCAAAGAATCAGGGAGCCGAAAGGCCTAAAATAAATTACCTGGATTCCATATATATATATATATATATATATATATATATATATATAT